ATTTATTTATTTATTTATTTGTGTTTTTCACAGGGAGACAAAGTTTCTCTGTTTTGGCCTGGCTGTCCTGGAACTCACTCTGTAGACCAAGTTGGCCTCAAACTCACAGAGATCTGCCTGCTCTGCCTCCTGAGTGGTAGGAGTAAAGGTCTGCACCACCACTGGCTTGTAAACAAGGTTTTATTAATTGATGAGAATAAATGTCTGAAGCAGGAAGGGGTTTCTCAAAATGGGTTGCCCTGTAATGATAATTTTATGATTAAGGCAACCTTAACGATACAGTCTGCCCCAGTCTCTAAAAGTAAAGATTGTCATTGAAGGGATTGGGCAGAGAAGCCCTCAAGAATGGCTATTGAAAAGCCTTTAATCCCAGCACTCAGGAGGCAGAGGCAGGAGGATCTCTGTGAGTTCAGGCTACCTGGTCTACAGAGTAAGTTCTAGGACAGCGAAGGCTACACAGAGAAACCCTGTCTTGAAAAACAAAGAAAAAAAACAACAGTATCATAAAGAATGCCTGTGATCTCGGGACTTAGGAGGCAAAGGTACCACAGGCTAGATACACTGGTATATTCTTTTTTAATGTTTTATTTATTTTTATTGGTTTGTGCACATTGGTGTTTTGCCTGTATGCATGTCAGTGTGAAGGTGTTATATCCTCTGGAACTAGAGTTACAGATAGTTGTGAGCTGCCATGTGGTGGTACTTGGTCCTCTGGAAGAGCAGCCTCTGAACCAGTTGAGCCATCTCTCCATCCTGCGGTACATTTTTATACTCTCAACATTAGGGAAGCTGAGACAGGAGGATTTTATTTAAGGCCAGCCTGAGCATAGCAAGAGCCTATTAGAAAGTGGAGAACTGGAAAATGGCTCAGTCGGTAAAGTACCTGCTGCACAAGCACGAGGCCTGAGTTTGTATCCCAAACATCTGTGTAACACGATGGTGTAAACCAGGCATAGTGGTACATGCCTGTAATTCTGGGACTTAGGAGGCAAAGGCAGACAGTTCTTTCTTGAGTTCCAGACCAGCCTAATGTACATAGTGAGTTCCAAAGGCTATAGAATGAGACTTTGTCTCCAAAAAAAAAAAAAAAAAAGCTATGCAGTGGTTCACACCTTTAATCCTAGCATCCAGAGGTAGAAGCGGAGAGACTGATGTGAGTTCGAGGCCAGCCTGGTCTACAGAGTGAGTTCCAGGACAGCCAGGACGACACAGAGAAACCCTGTCTCAAAACAAGTAGCTGGGTGTATGTATAACCAAGTAGGTCCCTGGAGCTCATTGGTCAGCCAGCCTAGTCTAGTCAGTAAGCCCTAAGCTTAGAGGGAGGCCCTTTTGTAACAAACAAGCTGAGGTCCAGGAGATGGTACAGTGGGTCACACACCTAAAAGACTTGAGCTTGAATCCCCAGAACCCATGTAAAGTGATACATAGTGACTCATGTCTGTAATCCCAGTGCTCCTGCAGCAAGATGGGCAGTGGAGACAGACAGGAGAATCCCAGGAAGCTCATGGGCTGTCCAGCCTCTCCACATAGCAACAAACAGCATATATACATATGTATGTATGTATGTATGTATGTATGTATGTGTGTATATATACACATACACACACACATGCACATGAATCCTACACATTAAATACTGTGGAAAATGACCAAGGAAGACCTCTGATCTCTCTATGTTCACACAGTTACATGAACATATACATACATTGCACACACACACACACAAAGGATGGCCACTGAGGAGGGATCATAATTTCAGTGGCCTGGCATGTTATAAGCACACTCAGACCCCTGCCTACCTCTGTCTCTGATGCTGGGATCCATGCCCAGCCAGCCCTGATTATTTACAGTGCTCACACATTTCTTAGTGCTGTGCATATCCTGTCCCTCTGAGCTACTTCTGATTAGGGCTCCTCCCTTCCTCCATGCCTTGCTTCCCTGCTGTCGTCCATACATGGTGCTTCTTCTTCCTGTTACCTTGTTTTCTTACCTTATTCAGCTGATCGTGCAGTAACAGGAAAAGCCATGCTGTGTCTAGTTCTAGGCTATTTTCTTTTGCAGAGCTGAACACTGGCCCCAGGGCCTTGGGCATACTAAGGCAAGAGCTGCGGTGTCTGTAACTAAGCTACATCTGCAGCGGCCCTCTAGCTTTAGATCTTTCTTCGGGGTAGGGATCTGTGACTCAGGGTCTACATAGCCCGGGCTGGTCTCAGGCTTTAAGGTTCTTCCATTATAGTAATAATGGTGCACGTGTACACCCTCCAACCCCCACAGGACTCTGAGGCAGAAAAAGTTTCATACTCTTTGAGCTGGAGTTACAGGCAGTTGTGAGCTGCATGTGGCCTGGTCTCTCATGAGCCTTCAGCTCCTACAGTCTTAGTTCTTTAGTGATAATGCTAAGGCCATGGGTCTGAAGCTGTGTGACTCTCAGCTTAGGTTTGCTTGCTTGGTTTGTTGGTTTTCCAGACAGGGTTTCTCTGTGTAGCCCTGGCTGTCCTGGAACTTGCTCTGTAGACCAGGCTAGCCTCGAACTCAGATCTGCCTGCCTCTGCCTCCAGAGTGCTGGGATTAAATATATATGCCACCACTATCTGGCCGGTTTAATCTTTTTTTTTTTTTTTTTAATGTTTGTTTTGTTTTGCCTCTGTATGTAGCCATGGCTGTCCTGGAACTCTGTAGACCAGGCTGGCCTCACCTCCTGATTGCTGGGACTAAAGGCGAGCACTCCTATACTTGGCCTAAATTTACTCTCTACAGCCACTGAATATTTGTAATCTGAGATCAGTTTTGCTGTTACTTTTTAAGGTGTGTGGTTGGGTGAACAGTAAGTCTGCTAACAAAAAGTTAAGAGCTCAAGTGTGGTGTGGCAGAGGAGTCAACAAGGTTGGCAGCATGTAAAAAGTAAAGGCCACTGTGGAATCCTATACCTTAACTGTGTGACCAGATGGGTAGTGTGTCTGGATGTAGAGTGACAGAGCCTATAAAGAGTAAACAAACAGAAGCCATGGGGAAGGGAAAGGGAAAGGGAAAGGGACAGAGGAATCACCTAGGGTCATGCCAAGTGGGCTCCTCAGTCATCAGCCCTAACTTGTGCTTCTGCAGCTGCGTTATGATGACGAGGTGAAGCGGGTAGTGGCTGAACCAGTGGAGTTGGCACAAGAATTCCGCAAGTTTGACCTGAACAGCCCCTGGGAAGCTTTCCCTGCCTATCGTCAGCCGCCTGAGAGTCTCAAGCTCGAAGCTGGAGACAAGAAGCCTGAAGCCAAGTAACTTCAAAAGCATGTAGATCCTAGAGGAAAATGCCTTACCTAAGGTTGTCTGTAAATAAACTCCAGTGGACATTCACGCCTTCCTCTGTGGTGGTTTGTTTGTTTTTCTTTTTTAGTTTTTTTTCAAGACATGGCTTCTCTGTAGCCCTGGCTGTCCTGGAACTCGATCTGTAGACCAGGCTGGCCTCAAATTCAGAAATATGCCTCTCTCTGCCTCCTGAGTGCCGGGATTAGTCATGGGCCATCAGTGCTGGGCTGCCTTTGTGTACTTTTAAAACATAAACTTATTTAGTAGGGGTGGCAGCACATGTAGAGGTCAGAGGACGATATTTAGAGTGCTTCTCTCCTACCATTTGAGTTCTAGGAATCCACCTCAGGTCATGAGACTTGGCAGCTAGTGCTCATATCTGCTGGGCCGTTCCCTTCCCCAGTCACTCATGTGCTGATAACAATACTGACTCATGAGAGGGCAGGTGCAGGATGGTGGAGGCTGCAGTTACATTGTGATCTGTGGGCCTGGATATGTTTCTAGAAGGCTCTGGATGTAATTTAGTTTTCATAGTCCTTAAGAATAGGTATGACAAAAAAAAAAAAAAAAAAAAGCCGGGTGGTGGTGGCTCACAACCTTTAATCCCAGCACTTGGGAGGCAGAGACAGGCGGATTTCTGAGTTCGAGGCCAGCCTGGTCTACAGAGTGAGTTCCAGGACAGCCAGGGCTATACAGAGAAACCCTGTCTCGAAAAACCAAAAAAAAAAAAAAAAAAAAAAAAAAAAAGAATAGGTATGAATGACATGGTCCCTAGTGACAACTGGAGGGCTTCGAAACTGCTGAAGAAAGCCCTTATCTCAGCAGACTGGAGGCAGCTGATAGATCCAGGGGCCCGAGTGAAGAAGGAAAACTATTGTCCTCCCACCTAAACATCTATAGGGTTGTATACACCAAGTGTAAGAGCCACTTACTCTTAGGCTAAAGGAATCTTCCCAGTTTCTGGTCTAAATCTAGAAGGTTGTTAGCAAGTAGATTTATCAGAGCTATGGAAAAAAAAACCAAAACCCTCTCAGGAGCTACAGGTCCATGTCTGCCTTCAAGACAATGCTCCCTTCCCCAGTGGCTCCATGCTTCCTCTGTGGTGTGCATCCCATGCGCACTCCTGATCTACCACTATGCAGCTGGAGAACTGGATGTGCAACTGATGCTTTTGGCAGCAGAGGAGCCCTGGAGGCTGGGCTGGGTGTCAGGCTGGACTAAGTGGCTAACTGGCCTCTGTAGCAAGATCTTTTCAGTGTGAGAACAGAGAGTAAGATAGCGTTGCTGCCTGAGATACATCCCTTGGGAGAGTCAAGCGGAGCTGGTTTCTTATTAATTAAACATTGAGCAAGAAACAAACATGCTGCTACTGCCTTAACTGAAGAGTCTCCAACTCTTAGCGGGTGAAAATAGTCCCTCCCTCCTCACACTAAAGACTGACATGTAAAGTAATGCAGGAATAGCCTGCAGTAGGAAAGTTGGAGCTGTGGCAGGCAGATGAAGGAACAGAGAGCTGGGGGTTGGGGGGGATGGGAATGGGGGCAGGGTAGTCATAAGACATGGCTGGGACACTGCAGTTTCTGCTTTGTCTAGTGGTAGCCATTGGTTTCCTTGGGTGACTTCTGGCCAGGATGATGAAGGTACAGGGGCTTCATGGTGGGTGAGTAGAAGCCAAGAAAAGGCTGATGGATGGCTGAAGGCAGATGCGTGAGCCTTGCATGGCAGAGGAGGAGCTGTGGGCCTGGTGGGTGATAGGTGATGGTGTGGGAAGCCTGTGGAGGTTAGTCTCGGTGCTTGTTACTCTGGAACTCTACAGGGCAGTATGTAAGTTACATGAGTCATGTTAGGTATTTGCCAAGAAGGGCTCAGACTTGGTATGCACTGGGGTAAGATCCATGCCTGAAGGCTGACTATCATCATGCATACATGTACATGTGGAATAGGGGAGGAGATGGAGGGTATCCATGCACTTTCCTGTTAAAGGTGTCTGCTGGACAGCAGAAAGGAATTTTGGGAGGCTAGGTGTTCAAAGTGGAGGACAGCAGGAATCCGATTCCTCTCTACTGTACTAGGGCAGTCCATGGACAGCACCATTAGAGGAAGTGGCCTGTAGAAGCCAAGGACTGAGAAGTAATGCTTCTCAGTCATTTTTCCTAGCCTGAACCATGGGGTTGGAGGGTCCAGGCAGCCCAAGTTTAGGGTTTGGAAGGGGGCAGTCTAAGAAGGGTAGACCTGTGCAGGGTGGGGAATAGCCAGTATGCGCCCCACTACCAGCTTATAGCCTACCCAACTCTATGCCCACTCTTCCTCCCATACCTGATCCCTGAGGACAGCCAGCCCTAGAATAGCTCCCCTTGCAGCTGTTCTAGGCTGGGCTGGAACTGGACCACACACGCAGGCTGTCGACTCAGGCTCCTCCTGCAGCACCATGTGCCCAGGGACTTGGAGTGGGCTGAGCAATGGCTGTGGCAACTCCATGATCTTCAGAAGAGGCCTCCCCTTAGCCCTTGGGTTTCCAAGCATCTGTTCCTTACAGGCCTTGCCCTGTGTACTGACTCCACAGGGCTAATGAAGCTGAAGAAAAGGGGTCATTGGGCCTAGGTCTTTGACCTCCTGGCACAGGAAACACTCTGGGACCTGTACAAGGATTTCTGTTCCCAGGGCCAGCACCCTTCTTTGGGGTCCTGGACCTCCATCCTTGACCTACCCCCTGGCCCCTCCCTTTCAATTGGCATTCTCTCTTCTTCCTTTCCCTATCCTGGGCGAGCACTCTAACTCCTGGTTCTTCCTCTTCAGATCTCTGAGCCTGCCTTGACACCTGACCTCCTATGCTTACTCCTATCTGAACTTGTTTCCTATACCTAGCTAAGGGCTGGGTCCAGGCAATAAGCACAGTGCAGTGGTTGCATGCATGTCTGTATGTCCAGAGTTCAAGGTTGAAAAGTCTGTTTAACACATGCTGAAAGAAAAGCTGCCCCCAGAGTAAATTTGTGTCAGGTCCTCTAACTCCTGTCTTGGCAGTGCTGTGAAATACAGGGACCCTGTATGCTTGTCACCCAGTCTTAATATTCTCATGAGACTGCTAAGTCCCCTTGTAGACTGGGAATATAGATTGGACTTCAATGGCTCTATTTACAGGAGGAGTAAAGGAAAAAGGTGGAGAAACATTACCTGTTTGTGGAGAGGAAAGAAAAAAAGTCTTTTGTTTTATCTCAAGCAAGCCTAACATGTACACCTCAGAGTTAAGAATAAAGTTGGAAGAAGACCCTCCCTGAGAGACTGGCTCAGACAGTGTAAGATAAGTGTTGCCCTGATTCTGTGTAGCTCTGTTTTGGCCTCCCAGAGTCCATCTCATTTTTGTGTTGAAGACCACTTACTCTAACACGTGTTCTGAGCAAATCTCCTCATTCTGGGAGAGCAGGAGGCAGGACAACCAGGTATCAGCCCTTCACCTCAGTGGGAGGAATGTGCTGTTGTGTTCCTAGTGGGTTAGAGTTGTGGGATGATGTTCCCTCTCACAGAAAAGCATAATTTGGGACCAAAGAAGAATGCCATTGGTCAGTGAAGAGAAGTCAGACCGAGGGATGCACTGGACGCGGACATGAAGGAGAGGCCTAGCTGAATTTAGAAGACTATGCTTCAAATTTCTACCTTCTCACTCCCACAAAGCCTGACCCCCATCTAGGTCCTATGGGTTGTCCTAGTCAGTGCAGTACGGTCCTCTCCAGTCCCGGGGAGGGGAGGAGGAAAAGGCATCACAGTCATGACACAGGGCAGGACCATAAGGCTGACTGGCAGCCTCACTTTATTAACAGAGTCCAGGCGTGCTGGGCAGGCAGTCATGCTCGGGCCGGTGGGGCGTTCGGGCTGCGGTCCCGGCTCGGCATGCATGCCCCACGGCTCTCCCGGGCTCCTCCAAGCCTACGCTCAGAGCTCTGGGGGCTTGAGGGCCGGCGGGCCGGCGGCGGTGAGGTCAGGGTACACCAGGAAGCCGGAGAAAGTGATGTACTTGCCGTGGTTGCTGTAGGCGCCATAGCCATCGTGGTCGTGGCTAAGCAGCCAGACGGCGTCGCCGCGACGCAGTGGCAGCATCACGCTCTGACTCTGCATCTCACGGCGCCTCGAAGCGCCGTCGTCGTAAATCATGGCCTGCACCTCGTCGCGGTTCTTCATCAGCTTCACCGACAGCGTCTTGCGCGGCAGCTTGCCCAGCGTGAAGGAGAAGAAATAGGCTCCCGGTAGGCGGCAGCGGAACACGCCGGCCGCCGCGTCGAAGTCGCCACCTATGTTTACCAGCTCGGTGTCGAAGGCCAGCGGCCGGTGGCGCGGTCCGGGGCCCGCGTCCGAGCCCACCAGGCTGCGCGTGCGCGCCGCAGAGAAGGCCGAGCGCGGCTCCGGAGGCGCGGCTCCGCGCGCAGGCGCGTCGGCGTCGGCGTCAGCGTACACCAGGTAGCCACTGAAAGTGGCCCCGGGCGCGCCGAGCGCGTACTGCGGGGCGCCGTGCAGCCGCAGCCACACCGTGTCGCCGTAGTCGAGCTGCAGCATGGCGCTCTGGCTGGCGGCGCGCCGTGCGCCGGGCCGCCGCTGCTCGTCGAAGGCCAGCGCCTGCACCTCGTCGCGGTTGCGCACCAGCATCACCGACAGGCTCTTATGCGGGGCCTTGCCGGCCGTGAAGGAGAAGAAGTAGGCGCCGGGCACGCGACAGCGGAACTGCCCGGTGGCTGCGTCGAAGTCACCCCCGATGTTCACATACACCTTGTCGAAGGTCACTGCCATCTCCGACGTGCCCTCCAGAGGAGTGGTGCGAGCCGCCGAGAAAGCTGACCGCAGCTCTGAGGAGCCTGGGCCAGCAGGGCCCAGTGCCCAGCAGGCCACCGGGCTGAGGAAGCCCAGCAGGAGCAGCAGCATGTCACCTGGGAGGGGAGAGAAGACCCCGGCAGGGGAGAGGGTTGGACAGTGACTGTCTCTACCTGTAACTTCTCCTCCTAGCCTTGCTCTTGACCCATGACTTGCTCTCTCCATTTTCCTTCACACTTAGGCTTGCTAGGTCAGTACTTCTCACTTGAGTGTCGCAGTCTCACCAGAAGGGCCTATTACGGCACCCATATTTGTCCCCCCACCCTCGAATTTGTTTTGAGTCTGGAATGGGGCCTGAAAATTTGGGTTCTTAGTGGTCTGATTAGCTGGTCCAGAGGTTTTTAGAGCTACTGGATTGGACCAGTAATTCTCCAAACTTGTGTTTTTAAGTATAAGAGAATCCTGGTGCATGTGCCACAGACATGTTGAAATGTTCTAGTTAATGAGGCCTACAGCCCGGTCCTCATCTCGACTCCCTCTCTGGACATTAAGGAGGTCTAAGTTTCCAACAGCCAACACTTCCTCTGCACTTAACTGGGGCTTTTCTCTGCTCCTTGGCCTGCCCTTCACAACAGACACTGGCTTTCCTGTCAGTTTCCACCATGACAGTGTTTTAAGTCTTATCTGGGGAGGAACAGAGATTGCTGCTCTCTAACCCTTTCCTGGCCTCTGCTCTACTCAAAGGTCCCACAGGATCTCTGGACTCCCCTGGGGTCCTTCCTGAACTGCAGGGGTCTGGCCAAGCTTTAAGTTAGTGCCTTCCCTAAGGTTCCCTAACTGAAAACAGAATGAGGTGAGGAGGGGCTGGAGAGATGGTTCAGCCATTAAGAGTTTAGCTACCATTCCAGAGAACCCACGTTTGATTCCCCAGCACCACATGGAAGTTCACAACTGTCTATAACTAGATCTGATGCCCTCTTCTGGCCTCCACTGGCACCAGGCACACGTGTGGTACACAGACATAGATGCAAGCAAAACACCCATATACATAAATTTCTTTTAATTATTCAGGGAGATATGGATAACTCCCTTTGTGTCTTTGTGTTTGGAGGGTGGCTCCTGTGGGAAGGAGAGAACCATGGCTGCTGAGGCTAGGGAGGGCAAAATAAAACTCTGGTAGTGCTTTGGCAGGGTGGTGAAGTCATCAGCTTCATTTGGTGGTAGTGGTAGAATGGAGTGGCAGACACTTAAGATCTGGTTACCGGTCTCGGGAATGAACCGCAAGCACACTTGAGTCATGCCCCAGTCACCTTAGGCAATTAAAAAAAAAAAAAACCTGTCTAAGTAAGGCTTCATGGCACAATGGAGGGCCACACAAACTGGTGGTGAGCATGCCCAGACAACAATTGTGAGCATGGTCTGTTCTTTCATGGACAGACCTACAGGCTTCTGCTCTTTACCCCTGGGAAAAGTGATGTGGTCAAGTTCTTGACATAAAGATGTTAGAGCCTCAGTAAAATGGAGAGTGTGGCCAAGCGTTATCCAGTCCCACGGGTCACTAATGGTGGGATTCTATCATCCTTTGAAGTAGGGCAGAGCCTTTGAACACCTAAAGGCTCCAAAGTGGCGGTAGGCAGGACGTGAGCTTTTCTGGGAAGTACCCTGGGAGTGTGTGTCTTACAGATTCCAGGGGTCTTCTGAGAGCAGCCAGGTCCAGCTGTGCAGTGTGGCCCACTCCTGGATGTTCACCTGCAGTCTACTGTCCAGCTGTTAGTTAGAGTAAACTGCACCGCCCTATAATTCTCACAAGAAAGAACTCCAGTCCAGTGAACACTAACTCCTTCCAGAGGATACTTTTCTGATTCTCACAAAGCTGTCCTGTGGGTTACTTGGTGAGGATAGGAAGGAGGGAAGGGTTCCATCTGTAGCAGTGAAAACTACACCTGAGAAGTGTCCAGTCTATTTCTTTATATAAAGCTCTTTTGGACATATAGATAAGCCCGCTCCCATTTTATAGATTCGAAATCTGGTGCCTAAACAAGGGGTACACGTTTTGGCTCAAGGTCATCTACTGAACTCTAAGCCTTAAACAGAGGGTTTTTTTTTGTTTTCATTTCAAATTCAGTGTGCTTTTCTACCAGCTTTCCCTCTTACACAAATGCCAAAGTGTTTCCCGCCTCAGTGACCCCTTTTGCAAATACAGAAGAGACAAGGGGAAATGAGTGTTGGAATCTTCAGTGAAGGAGGAAGCTAGCAAACAAAGGCATTTTGTCTGTCATTTTGTCTCCTGAGAGGTGGGAGCTCTCTCTCCCTTTGCCCTGCAGCGTTCCTAGCAGGTCTGCTCTCGAAGCTCCTGCCCACCCTATCGTTTGCCACCTCCCTGCCAAGTCAGATGCACCCATCAGTGCCGGAGGTTCTTGTGTGTCCAATACCCTTCCTACCTTTCATACTCCACTGCACATGTCCCTGAACCCTGGATCCTTTCCTCTAACCATCCTGTTCCCCAGCAGGTCCGAGGAGGATGGTAAGGCGTCAGGTGGGTCTCAGAGCTCCAGGAAAGGAAATGGCTGCACAAAGCTCTGTGCAGGTGAAGCTCAAAACAATCATCTTCAAAGAGAAAAACTGGGACAGACAGCTGGGTAGACTCAGACCCACGGAGCCAATGGGGAAGGTGCAGCGATGTCAGACTAAGGGCATCTCCAAGCCCCCAGCGCCTTGTCCCCATACCCCATTTAACACTGCTTTCAAGCCGTGCCAGAACCCCCCTTTTATCTTCCTTGAAAGTCCGCTCCTTCCAAGAATGTGAGCCCCACTTTTACAGAAGCAGCCAATCAATCCCTTCTCGCAGAAGAAAAAAATGCCCCAGAAAGGGGTCCCCGCAAGCCCTTTTTCCATGAGACCTGCCCTCCACCCCTCCCTTTGGAGTAAAAGCCCCTGAGCCTCTTTCATGAAAAAGCGCCCAGGTCCTCCTTTCCAGG